CATCTCTTTTAACCATGTGATGAGGTAAAGACAAAGTGTGATCGTGGAATCAGGGCGAGGACGGGATGATGGATCTAGTGGCTCGTCGTTGTGTGTTTTAATTGAATTGCTAGGTTGATAGTAATTCAGATTAGAACGGGTTAGRTTGTTCGAATATTGGTTGACTGTTTTGAATGATTGGTTAAATTGATAATGGAATTGTTGGGTTTGAAGGTTTAGTTTGATTTCCGTTGGAATACTGGTTGACTGTTTTGAAATTGATTGGATTATTGAGGATTATYATTTATGGGAATGATAATCTGATTCAATGTAAAAAAAAAAAAACCAGATCGGGTTGTTTCATTCTTAATTTTCCGGTGAGATATGACGATCTCTAATTTAAAGACCACTTCTTTTGGTGAAATCTAAAAACCTCAGTTTATCACTTTATAAAAAATGAAATCCAAAAACTTTGTTCTGTCGAAACGTTTCGACATCTATAAACTTTATAATTTCTTTCTTTTCTATTTAATACTATAATAATAGTTACTGAATCGATATATGAAACCGGTGTATGTATACATTTAGCAATAGGTTGATGATATTAATAGATTTCTTTTCTAACACATGGAACTAAATATGTCATAGGACGTAGCAGGCGGTAACACAATGCCTAATGCCTAGAACGACTAATCGGAGTATAGGCAATTTAGGCGGTTTAAGCGTTTTACGTAATATAAATTAGAGTATTTAACAAAATTAAGATATAGACAAAAATACTGTATATATGAAATGCACATAAGGGTAAAACCAAATTATTGAAGAATGTAAAGTGTCTAACACTGTGTTTGTATATCCAGCTAATTTGCCGATAACTTCTGTATATGAATTGCATATGGTCACAAATGGAATTTTTAAAATAAAATTATTTTTGTTGGATTTTCATATATAAATGATGACGTGTCATGGCATATCCCCATCGCTTCTTCCTCACTGCTCCCAACATTTTTCTTCCTTGTGAAATTCATCTTTCTTCTGATTGCATCATTTTAGCTGCGATTCAATTCCTTCTCACGAGATGCCTTCTTCCTTCTCCAAGCCGGCTTTGGATCCCTCTTCCTCGCCTCCGCAGAATTCTCCTTTGGCCCAAGACAGCTCGGAGGCTGAGCGCCGGCTTCGCGAGGCGGAGGAGAGGCTACGCGAGGCCATGGCGGAGCTTCACCGTAGGCAGCGTTCGGCGGCGCGTGGATCTCACGGCGAACTCTGCGATCACGCAGACGTTTCCTGCGTCGCCAATGCCATCGGCAATCTCTGCCAGAGTTTTCTCCTCTCCTATGGCGTTAGAGTTGGGATCGGTATCCTTCTTCGCGCTTTCAAGCTCGCCAGGGGGCAGTCTTATTCCTCTCTTCTCGATCTGAAGGTGAGCAATCGAGTAAAAAGGATTGTTTTTTTTTTTTTGCTTTTTCTGTGGCAATTTCATGGTCTAATGTTTGATACATTATGGACTTTGATGGAGATTAGAGAGTCTTACGAGTCTGCTTGAGCGTTCCGTTTGATACGATTCTTTTGAAAATAGGGCCAATGGGTCATTGACTTGGACATAATATATGAGGCGGTTCCCAAATGGTTCAAATGTTGCTATGAAGAGGCTAAGGTGTTCATATACACAAGCTCTATCATCTCTTCTTCTTGTCAACCATTGCCATGTTGTGTTCTTATTTTTTTCCCAAAACAAGGTTGACTTTTCCAATTGGGATACAAACGTTTCTTCCTCTTTGTTGGATGCACCTGTGA